AAAAAAAAAAAAAAAAAGATAGACTGCTGTTTGGGTGCTTTCTAAACACCTAAGCTTTGTTGTCAACATAACCCTTTACCCCCCTATCCGGCGAATAATATATCTTTTTTTTCAAACTGTTGTTTTCGCCTTCAATTATCATCCCCGCAGTATTTTTTTTTTGTTATTGTTGTCGTTTGTTGCTGTTTGTTGTTGGCTTTACTGCTGCTATATACATATATAATTTTTTTTTTCTTTTTACCGTAAAAAGTCGTCTACAGCAACCCGAAAAAAAAAAAAAAGAAGAATTCTATTCATCAATATTTCAGTATAATCCACTTAATGTTGTTACGCTTCAACAAATTTTTTCACAACACACAAAAAAAAAAAAAATCCCTTGCTTTTGATTAAAATACTGCCGGGATAATCAGTTTTATACATCTAAAACACTGATATATTTGCTGGGGTGTTTCATTTTGACAACATTACCAACAACAGCAACAAAAAAAAGCTTTTTTTTTGTTCCTCATCGAATATATATATATATATAATGTATAAAAAATTTCAAAATATCTATGATCTAACACAATAGGATAAGCAGAAAAAAAAAAAAGCATTTTTACTCTGTAAACAGATTAAAAAATTTTATTTATATTTTTGTACATTCCGATACATATACATTTAACATCACTATTATTGTTACTATTATTACTATTATTTTTATTGTTGTTGTTGTTGTTAATATTATTATTATTATTATTTTTAAGAAAAATCGGAAATGCAACAAAAAGACTGTTATTTTTCCTATCATACAAAAATTTTGATGAATTTTTGAAGCGATGAGTCATCAAAAATATTAATTCTATGGCATTTTGCCAAAAAAACTTACCTTACTTTGTCACAAAAAACCTAAGCACAGTATCCCTTCAAAAAATATTGTTTTCAGTTGTTTCCAAAGACAAAAAAAAAAAAAGTAAAATAACCTTTCTTCATATCTTTTTTTCCTTTCCAATCTTCTCATTTTTATAGAAGAAGAAAAAAGTGTGATAAATGAGCAAATTTCTTTTAAAAAAAAAAATTGTATTACGCAGTTTTTGTAATCTCTTAAGTTGCTTTTTCAAACTGTACCTTTTCTATTGTGCCTCTGCAATTTTCGTCATTTTTTTTTTCTTATTCGTCTCTTCATTTAAAAATTTTTGCCCACAGTAACAAAGAAAAAACACAAAAAAAACAAAATCAAATAGAAAAAATAAGAGAAAGAAAAAGGGTTGAAGCAGAAGAAAATAACAAAAAAAAAAAGACAGTTTGATATGCTGTATTTTGTTCTTACAAACGACAGCTTTATACTCATTTAGTATCCATTCAGCAAGAAAAAAAAAATATAACCTAAACCATATAATAACACTTTATTTTGATTTACTTTAATGGCACTATTTTATTGCAACAGCATACAGCAATAGCAGAAATTTAAGGCAAAAAAAACGACAAAAACTTTTCTACAAATA